AAATCACTGGACTCAATTTTCTGCTCTGATTCCTTCGAAGATGTGTTCCCCTCAGATCCATCCATTGCCTTTTCTCTTTCCAACTCCTTGGCAGCTTCCTCCTCTGCTGCCTTTTCTGCACGCAAAATTGGCTCGTAATAATCAGCATGAGCCTCCATGCATTTTTTCAAAGCAGCAGTAGCCTGGAAGCACTTCTCCACAATCTCTTCATTATTCTTCTCAGCTTCTTCAATACATTTCTCCCAAGCAACAAAACTATCTTTACACCCACCTCCCTTCATGAACAAGCAAAATCCACACTCTCCTTCCTCTTCCTCGTCCGCTTCCTCTTCTTTCCCTTCACCTTCTCCTTGACTTTTTTCACTATTTTCAGTGTCCTTTGATTTATCTGGACCTTGCTCTAGGTTTTCCTTTCCTTGCTGACTTTGGAGATCATCTAAGGAATTGGTAGCATGGGTCAAAAACTGATTTTCTGATGTTTTGTTGTCAGATGCTTCGGGGTTTAAATCTTCTGTCTTATGATTTGACGAGGACATAGTGTCGGATTTTACTGAGTCTGGTGTGGATTCACGATTAGCGGGAATCGCTGAGTCAAGAAACAAGTATAAGCAATCAATAAATTTATGAAACCATGAAAGAGAATGTGAGATATAAATTTAAAAAATAAAAGCTAACTTTAATCAAAATAATTCAGCTACTTGCCCAAAACAAAGGTCAATGTGCATGTATCAAAGATCATTAAAAACAGCAAAGGGACGAAAAAGATCCCAAGAACAATGAGACATGGCACTTATAATTAACTCAGACTGATACGCACGAGCCACACCTAAGCCTCTTCAAAGAGGTATACGAGGTTCACGCACACAAATAAAGGTTTAAGTTATTCTAATAGATTTTTGTGGCCATAACCTACAAAAAACTAACAGAATAAATGAAATTAAAAACTAGTATTCTGTAACAAGACAACAAAGTGGTGCAGCCCATGCACAGCTGACAGAATCAAAATTAGCCCACTAATAAATGATCCATTGTTAAAACTGAAGAGAAGCCAGCCCTCAATTACTTTCCCAAAACCCAGATAAACATGCCAATTCTTAGTAAGACAGGTAATAAAAATTCCCAGTCATCAAATTTGAGATAGCAATAAATAATAACAGGGAAAAAAAAAAAATCCAACTAAAGCATGCAAGTTATTTCAAGCAAGCCAGTTGCCTGAACAAGTGAATTTCCAAGCTTAAAATAGCTTCATCTAACTACATAACTCCAACATGTATACAAACCAAATCCTCAAACGGCCCAAACAGACCTTGTAAAATAACAGGATATGACTCATTTAAGCCAGAAAGACCTTGCCACTTACACCTATAATTTCAATACCAATGAAATTATAAAAAAAAAAAAAAAACACCAGGAAACTCATAAACAACAGAGTACCAAAACAAAGAACCATATTGACAGGATTTTCTTGAAAAGAAATAGATAATCTACAGCAACCATTTATTAAATACAATCATTTCTTAATATGGTCAGATCATGTTTACTTACTACCAATCAACAAAAAGAAATAACAAGGTATAAATTTGATAATTACCTGCTCCTCCCCAGGTCTTTTCTTTTAACACAAACTGCTATAAAACTGATTAGGGCGAAAAGAAAGATGCAGGATCCGGTTCTATGATAAACTAGTAAAAACTGCGAGTCTTAAAACCTATATCCCAACAAGTCAACCAACATATCCAATCTCCAGATAAGCTGATAAAGTGCAAAAGAAAATAATGTACAAATGAGAGGAATCAAGCAATATGCAGTAAGACGGAGAAGCAGCTAAAGAGCTGAAGCATACATGCGGAGAGTCAACGATTAGTCAATGAACTGGACAAATTTCATTTATACCGATCCCATGCGATCGGAGATACATTCCTTGATATCTAAATAAGCTATTTGTATAAAAGGATTAACAGAAACCACGTAAAACTGAAGGATATCCAAGTGCAGTCAGCATCCAATAATTCATCCAGAGCAAATCAGTGTGATATCAAACTCAAATACGCAAAAAATAAACTATCATAAAAAGTTAACTTCGCAATTGATTCGTATAAATGTATGTAAAATGATGTATGAACTTACCTACGAAGCAATTGCCGAAGAACTTTCCCGTATCCGAAAGTAGTTGACCGACACCGTCGCTTGTGAGACTGAGAGAATGACGAATAATCGAGCTTATGAGAAGTCGATCGTAAAATTTCAGGTAGATTTGGAGGAAGCTATGTAAACCGCTCTGTAGAAGCGTGGGCTTCGGTGAGGTTAGAAGAGGGTTTTGCTCCCTTTGTACGCTTCTAACAGACGGAACTGTGAACAACGCTGCCTTAAAACCCTGTAAAACCCATTGAAATTTGCTTAGGGTTTTGTTTTGTTTTTTGTTTTTTTAATTTATATTTTAACAAAATATTATTTATCTCATGTAGCCAATTGGTAGAAGTAATTAGACAATACACTAAAAAAATAAATTACACTAATAATATCTTTTGAATTATCTAAATCACTGTTAATCACTTAGAATAGTCAGATTAACATCTAATTCTCTGAAATTCAACATCCTAAATCAAACTCATTTTCGACTATCTTAAGCCCCCATTTGGGCGACGAGCTATTGACGCTGCTCGTCGATAACTATGTATGGATCTCAATGTGTATTATTTTGATTCGCAAACAATCTAATAAATTATTTAAAATCATTTTTTTTATTCTTATAAAATTTTATTTGATTTATTAATAATTATTGTCGCATCAATAAATAATATTATAATTTACGTCGTATATTTAAATAATGTTGGTTTAATAACATTTTAAAAAGTCTATGTAATATTTAAATTGTTTAAGTCAGTTTTCACACTATTTTTTATTCAAATATTATATAAATTTTTAATTTTAATAATATATTTTAATTAATGACAACATATTTAATATTATTAAATAAATTATAATGTAAAGAATAATATATTCACATAAATATTAAAATTTTCACTCCGCGTGGATACACTAACAACCATTTATCATTCCTCTTTTAATTTTTTATCTACGAACAATCATAAATGAAATATATGTTAGTAAAATACCAACAATAAAACACAAAATCGACATCCATGTAAATGTCATAGCTGGTCTTAATTTATAATTTACAAACATAATGCTGCAAAATAATAAGTTAGTAATGATCTAACAAATCACATAATTACCGCGATAGTTTTTTAATTTATATAATACGTTATATCTATTGTTATTATAATATTTATAGTACAATTTAATTAAGTTTAATTTACGTATGTAATTATTATATAATATATTAAAAAATTTTGTATTAATAAAATAATTAGTAAAAATTTCATCAAAATAATATGAAGGTATACGTCAAAAATAATATATTTTTTTAGAATATTATAGTAACATCTAATTTATTTACATAATATAATTGAAACATAATGATTGTGTATCTAATAAATTAAATATTTTATAGTAAGTTTCGTTCGTTAATTATTATAATTAATGATTATTATTTTATATTAAAAAATAATAAACCCATTATTTTATATATATTATAGTTGATTGTGATTCGACATTAAAAGTTTATTTTTCATAATTGTATTATACACATAATAAACATTCATGGTGAAATTTAATGGTTTTGATGAATATTATATTTATTTGGTATTGACAGAAAAATAAAATTAGACAAATTTGAGCTTGAAAATTTCATTGGTATTTTGTTTAGATTGAAAAGAAAAACTGAGTTTGAAAATATTTTTTTAAAAATTTTTAATTAAAAAACAGTAAAAAATTATCCATCTTATTTAAATTACTTAAAAGTAATTTAAAAATACAATTACTGTATATATGATTAAAATTTTAGAAATATAAAAATAATTATTTATTGCACTTTTATCTCTTATTGTTCGGTTACTGAGTTAATATTTAATTATTATGATTTAAAAATTATTTACAAAAATACAAATAAAACAAAAATTTCATATTTGTATAAAACATTATGAAATAAAATAATTTTATAAATTAAAAAAATAAAATGGTAATTTAGCATACAATTTATAAACCTCACTAAACAATAGACCGGAGAGCGCGAGTTTCCTAATTAAAACGAAGTTGGAAAAAGAAAATGGCGGGAAAGACGGAGTTTCAGCGGTCTCTGGAGCAAAATCGCGAAAGTCACAAATCTTCAAGTTCATTTTCGTTGTCGAAACCAGAAGCCGAGGAGATGGGAGAATCGTCCAAAGGAGGAGGAGAACCAGCGTTATGCTGGAGAGCAGAGGTGGACCAGAGCCTTAAACGGCTTCACTCATTGCTCTTCGGCGTCGATCACTTCCTCGACAAGCGGGACTTCGAATCGGCTCAGCTTCTCGGCCTGCGTCTTCTCGGCTTCATTGATTCCTGCTCTCTCTCCGACGCAGACCTCCAGCTCGCTCGTTCCATCCGCCGTGAAGTCGCCTCCAAAGTCGACGCCGCTCGGCGAGCCCTCGTCCCTGATTCCGATCGGTATATGCACGTCGCCTCTTTTTGGTTCTGTAAATTGTTCTCTACCACGCTGAGCCTAGGAGTTTGGTTTATCTTTGAAATTTATTGATTTATCTTGATATTCGTGATTGATTTTTAACCAAAATAGATTTGAACATTTGGCAACTAATCTGGTTTTTGTGATTTTCTGAAATTCTGGATTCTTAAATTATTCTGGTAAGTAATTAGATCCAAAAATCTGAAGTTCCATCTTATATTTGTTGAGGAAACTAGAGGCAGAGCTCTCAGTCGATCTTTTACGGAGTATAAAGGATTAAATAAGATTAAATAAGAGCGATCGATGTGAACTCAAGCAAAAGCGATGAAATATTCAAATTGGTTCGGCCTTTTTAGCCCACTATTACAAATACAATGGAAAATTTTTTATATAAGCTTGGAAGATTAGGACAATGGTAGAAGACATAATGATTCTTAAATCCTAATCTCAACTACACGTGTCAAAGAGAATGAAGAATTGAAATCAATCTTCAGAAGAGACTCCCTCTTTTTTTCTTATCAGCACTTAGGACTCTCACCTTTCTTTCACTTCACCAACCACTCTTTACCCATTTTCTCAATCCATGTGCTATAATTGATATCTACGGATAATGAACACGGGGAGCATTTGAATGGAAAATTAAGGTTTTTGGGAAGGTTGATGTTGCTAGTTGGGAAGCAAAGACTTCCAGTTTGCACCAGTACTGCACCAATCTCCACTGTGATGGATAGTAAAAAGAAAATTGAGGTGAAGTTTGGAACTTCTTCATTAGTTTATGCCAAAAGCCTCATAAGCTTTCAGCAACCTCCAAACTAAACATGCCCATGCTTGAACTTGATTCATTGGCTGGGTTTGTCAAGATGTTTGCAAGATTCTCAAAATGGATTCTTTCTCAACTTGAATATTTCCACTAGAGGCTATATTTTCTTTCAGTGCAAATGATACTGTACTTGGATGTATTTGGTTTCTCTCATGGTATATGGTGTTCTTCGCTAAGTGAACAATAGTTCTAGCTACAACAGGTACCACTCTTTCTTTCATGTTATAATGTAGATCACTAACTAGACCGAGGCATAATGCCTCCTTTACCACTCAGTAGTTGTCATGTACTTTGTCTCCATAATTGATAGTGCATCTTTAGATTATAAAATCGCTTTCCTACTGATGCCACAGCCTGGAGGAATAAAGTAGTAGTTTGTAGCTGACCTTCTTTTATCCTAGTCACCAACAAAATCAGAGTCAACAAATTCTATTGTGTTTTTTCTTAAGAGTAACATTCCGATCCCTATTCAATATCTTGCAGACACATAAATACCGGAGGATCTGTTTCAATTTGTTCAGATAAGCGATATCCTGAGCAATCAAACTGATCATGTGTCAAATTTTCCTACTTCGTTTGCATATGGACCGCATTTTATGTACCTATTTTTTCCTCCTATATTTTTGGTGATTCCTTGGCATTGAATCTGCACTCGATAGAGTAATTACAGCTTTGGCGTCCTGGAAGCCTAACTGATCATTGCACTATTTGGATGTACTACTTCCAAACTTACATTCGTTGTGAATCTTCATCTTATGGATTTTCCTTGTTGCGCTCAAGTCTTTCATCTGGAACTTCCCACTGATCTGCTCCTTCAAATCCTCAAAATAGGCATGCTGTCCAGTTAGAATTTGCACCAAGTCAAATTCCTTTATTTCAGAGCATAACAGACTTGTCTTCACCCAGGATGATTGAGGTAATTGATGGGGAAGGTTGGGCCATGTGGTTGGAAATAAAAAATCGTTCTTTGCATGGGTCATACAAGAGTCGTAACCATTTTAAAATTTTTTCCTTCTTTAGAATATTATATGTACTTTGTTAATTCAAGCTAATTGTTGTGCTTCATATATCACCAGAAGAGCCTTTGAACTGGCAAACAGGGATCCAGGCTGCGCCTTTAGCGGTAAAGAATTTGATATTGAGAAGATTAAGGAGTCAAAGTACTTCCAAGTTCTTGTTCAGCAGTGTAATGGAAGAGTTACAAATGAAGTGGTATGGTATATGGAATAGATTTTTATTGCATTTGAAGCTGTTAAAAATTGCATATTTTTCTCTTTTTTCTTTTTAATACCATGCTTGTGATTATGATGCTTTTAGCAGGTTTTTTACAGTAAATATTTTTCCATGATAAAAAACACCCCTCATTTAGTTGCCAGCAAAAGAAGCCAGAAGTTCACATGATTAGGTAACTGAATCATTGTCTCTAACTTTGTATCAGGGAGAGCAATGGAATAAGCAGAACAAGTTTATTACCAAGGCGTCAAAAGCTATAACACAGACGAAGTTGACTTCATTGTATGGAAACAACTTTGGGAGTACAAGTAATAGCATTTCCAATAGTTCTTTGAATCACCACAATGAAGGTGCTGATGATTGCAGTTTAGTTGGAAGGGCTCATTCGTGTAGCACCTATCCTAAGGGTCATGGTTCTCCTATTTTTCTCAAAGTTGAAGAGAATGAAAGGGGTAATGTGAATAGCTTAGGGACAAAAAGAGCTCATGTTGACATCAGCAGCCCAATAAATGTGAGTGTAAGATCATTGAACGATGAAGAAGCTAATGCTGATGTTCCGGGCAACGGATTTGTGACTGCCAGAGCTAAACTGGTACCTTGATTTCTGATAGTTTCATCTTTTCCAAATGTAGTATGCATACTAGGGGGAGGATTTTCGCCTTTTCTTCATTTTTGCCAAAAATTTGCCTGTTCTATGAAGCAAGTTGAAACATCTTACATCTTACTTATTCATTTGCTATCAAGCTATTCTCTTTCTTATTTGGAAATTTTTGGTGTAAAAAAGGAGAACGAACATCAATTCTTAAGGCTCTGCAGATCCTTACTGGCTGCTCCTTTGATGGGAGCCTCTTTTTTGTCAGGAGATGGACTCAAGACAAAAACGAGGCCTGGCTGGATCACCTGGTGCATCTTTGTCTCCACAATGCGATAACAATGCCTCCATTAAAGGTTCTGGTGTAAGGTCATATGGATATTCTCGACGTCTAGCTCGTGGTAATTTTGTCCCTCCGATCAAATCCAATGGGGGCAATGTTGGAAATATGACTTCACGGGTTGCTGGAAAGGGTGATGACGGACTAGATGACTCAACAAGGAGAGTGTAAGTTATGTGAATTTATGTTGCTACAATACATAAAGCATGCTATAAATTATAGGCCTAACCCAACGTCACCTAATGTTAGAATTTGCATACCGATTATCCAAATTATTGCTCATTCAGGACTTCAACTGCCATGCTTTCACTAAAAAATAAGTTAGGGGAAAACAGTCTTTACTCTTCACGAGTGGTGGAATTTGTAGGATCAAATCCTGCTAAGTAATGAATGTATGGTGCCTTTTTACTGTAAACTTGTATGGTGGCTTTTTATCATAAGGAGTTTAACCAATAATTTCTATAATGGTGATTATAGAGGTTGCTCATGAAGTGGTCTCTATATATTCCCAAGTTCATTTAATTGTTTCATGTTTTAACTGCTATATTCTTATCATTACTTTTATCTGATGCATGAAACTTCAGTATAAATCGAGTGAGATACAGGATTATGCCCTAACACATTTCATGTTCTGATTCAAGTTTGGAGATGCTATGCGGTCCTGATGGTGAGCTTCCTGAAAAATTAAGGAACCTGGAACCTCGTCTTATAGAGCATGTCAGTAATGAGATTATGGATCGGGATCCCAATGTTCGGTGGGATGATATTGGTAGTTAGACAAAGCAGAAAATTTCTATACATTCCATGCACTTTGGCAATTTACTTATCATTGACAATTATTGCGTGAAATTATGTAGCCGGTCTGGAGCATGCTAAAAAATGTGTAACTGAGATGGTAATATGGCCTTTATTACGCCCTGACATATTCAGAGGATGTCGTTCTCCTGGAAGAGGGCTTCTCCTTTTTGGACCGCCTGTAAGTGTTAAATCTTTTTCCATAAGGGAAATACTACCAGCATACGTTTTTCACCATGCTACCTTGTTTCAGGGAACCGGAAAAACAATGATAGGGAAAGCTATAGCTGGAGAAGCAAAAGCAACGTTTTTCTACATTTCTGCCAGTTCGTTGACAAGCAAGTGGGTAGGTGTTAGCGTATCTTTGCATTGCTTATGTGATTGTCCATGAACAGAATTCGCTGTAGAAAATAGTGAATTTTAAATCTCTAAATTGCAAGGCAAACTGAATGGATCCGATTGCAGCTTTGCACCGTATCTTCATCTTTTGTCTTTTAACTTATTTATGAAATCAATGTCAGTTTTCTTTCACTTATTGCATACTTGTAGTCTCCCAGTTGTGTTCCCCTTTTTCCTAGATGGTACTAGACTGAATCAACATCTTGAAATAAAATACTCTTCAGATTGGCGAGGGTGAAAAGCTAGTGAGGGCCCTTTTTGGAGTTGCCAGCTGTCGTCAGCCTGCTGTAATTTTTGTTGATGAAATAGATTCACTTCTGTCTCAGGTAAGTTGGGTTGCATATCTTAAAGACAAACTTAAAGTACCCTTATATACTGTCCTTTGGATTGTAATCCCTTGCATGTATTCTAAAACCAATGGAATTTCGTTAAGCAGTTTTATGACTGATTTGGTTGACTTTGTCCTCTATTTTTATGTTTTGATACATGGCTTGTTGCTTTTCATCTATAAAGGCAATTAACATATGCAAATTTCTTGATGCACTTTGGCTAGATTTAGAGCAACTTAATCATGGTTTTGACTATGTTAGTTACCATGTCTTTCCTTTGAAAATAATGCTCTGCTGATTATTTCTCAACACAGCGTAAATCAGAGGGGGAACATGAATCAAGCAGAAGACTTAAGACACAGTTCCTTATTGAAATGGAAGGCTTTGACAGTGGTAATGAGCAAATTCTGCTTATAGGTAAATTTGACTCTAATCTAAAATATCTAATATTCAAAATGCATTTTCTGTTAGCAAACTATTTTGACTCCAATGGTTTATGACCAAGAAAACAAATTAAACTGGCAAAGCTTGTCTGCCACCAATTGCTTCTTAGCTGCTTCATGCGTGAAATTTAGAATCAGTTCTTTGTTTCGAAATGACAAGAATCCAGAGGACATGGTGCATTCGCTGAGCTCTTTTTGAATCTTCTTCCATTTTCCATTCTCTAAAGCCATTTGAAATTATGAACCATAATGTATTAAAACATGTGTCATGCTCATTAAGAGTTGAGACTCATTAAGGTTCAGTTCCATATTAAGCATGCTTGGTTCAAGTGAATGGAGAACCTTCTGATTTCTAAGACAAATGCTGTATGACCTTTTGCACAATGAACGTAGACAAGTTTCTTTCATGTGGATAATTACAATTAAATCTCTGTAAAAGCCTTTGTCCATCTTTGGAAATTTGAGTAATATTTACTACCTTCAACACAACAAAATTCAATGCTTTAGGTGAAACTGTTTCGCCTCTACCTTTCAAATAACTCGTGTCCGTGACTCTGTATAATCAGGAGCGACAAATAGACCCCAAGAACTTGATGAAGCGGCACGGAGGCGCCTTACCAAGAGGCTCTATATTCCTCTCCCTTCATCAGGTACATGTCATGTCCTCTAATTTGCCCCTCCAGTTTTAGTAAGAGAATACGTTACTAACAAAATGATGTTGCGAAGAAGCAAGAGCCTGGATCATACGCAATCTCTTAGAAAAGGATGGACTATTCACTCTCTCAAAGGAGGATATTGATGCTATATGCAGACTGACAGATGGTATTCACTTCATATAATTTTTCTTGAGTTCTTTATCTTTTCTATTTGGCTTCATTCATGTCCCTGTTTTTTACATTGAAATTCAATGCATTCTTCCTTGTGTTCTAGGGTATTCAGGATCAGACATGAAAAACTTAGTGAAAGATGCATCTATGGGTCCACTGAGAGAGGCCCTTAGACATGGCATTGAAATTACCCAGCTGAAGAAGGAGGATATGCGGCCAGTAAATCTTCAGGTAATAATATGTAAACTAGATGGCGTCTTACAAGAGGGCACGAGTAGGCAAATGTTAATAAATAGTCTTGTCTTTGTTTAGCATAATTACTTGTAATTGTTTTTCTTTCTTTCATGTAGGACTTCGAAAATGGATTGCAAGAGGTGAGACCCTCTGTTTCTTTGAATGAACTTGGTATATATGAGGAGTGGAACAAACAGTTCGGAAGCTTAGCACTCTAGAGATCCCTTAACTGAAAAGGTTAGATATTGTTATACTCCCATATAGAATTACTCACCATAACTTGTACCGCTATAATTGTCAGCTTTAACAAAATTAAATATTGAGATTTGTTTCCGATAAATCTACAATGAAATTTATATAATTTGGGGTGACTTAACTAACCAACTAATTAACCCTTACTTTAGAGAAGAAATATAGAGTAAAGAAAGAGGAATCTCAGACCAAATCCCTCCGCATTTGGTTTAATCGCCATTAAGTTCCTAATCATATCTTAGATCTACTTCTGATTTTTTTTAATATACATAATTACAATATCATTTGTTGTGTTCATATTATTTTCTCACCATGAAATTCTTGAAGCTGAGAATTCAACTCTTTGTGCATTGCGTCCTGCATATTATTTTCTCACCATGAAATTCAGCCCAGAAAATGAATTTCTGGGCTCACGGCTGGGCTGGCTCAATGCCAGAGCCTGGACTGAAGATCGGAAGATGGGCTTCAGGCTGCTGGGCTGGGTTCAGCTGGCTGGGCGTTGTTTGTAATTTCAGTTTGTTAGGTCGGATGGGAGACTAAATCGGATCTGACCTAATTCTCATCCACCTATTTTTGGACCAAAAGCATCCGGTCCAGTTCGATCCAGTTTTCTGGTGGGGACTAAAAATTTGAACATTGCTAGTGGATAATGACAACTTAACTACAATAGGTTAATTATGCACATAAAATCTCAAACAACTGTTGCCCCGGGACTGCTTCCCAATATCAGTTTGTGCTGTAGATTTCATCTGCATCATCCGTAAAATTTTACTAGATTTGAGCCTCCAATTAGAAATGACAAAAAGCAATTCACCTTTTTCCCAGACTAAAATTGGCAGGAGAGGAGGGATTAGACAAGTAAGTTATAACTTTTTACATATAAAATACGAGGTAGTTAATTAATTATTAAAAATTAGATTAATAATACATACATGCTTGAGTGATGACTAATACCGAACAACGTAATTTTAAGATTCTTACCATTTTTCCCTTATTAAAATAGAATGTGGGAGATAATCGGTCCAAACACGCATGTGCATTCTGACTATAACTAGAAGATGAGAAAGATAAAGACCTTTCTTACATATTTAGAGACACAAATAAATTCTCCACTAGGATGGCACGTTGCTTTGGATTACGCTTGACATCCATGATTATTGTGAATATGATATTCTTGCTGTTAAAGATATGTGTGAAATTTTTGCATACTCAGATTTGATAATTGTTTATTTGTTCTCTTTTTTCCAATTGTATATTAAAGTTAATGCACAACAAGTTTATGATATTGACTGTAAAAAAATTTTAGATATTTCTTTATTAGTCTCTCCTGTGAATCAGAACCTTTAGGCCGCCGGCCATGTGAGCTGTCAGGAGAGGAACGAAAACTGGTTTATCTGAACCCACCGGTCTGATCTCATACTGCTGAAGTATGGAAGCTACCACATATTTCATATGAAGAAAGGCCATCTGCTTGCCAAGACAAATTCTTGGACCGGCCTGAAAAACTGGAAACTTATAGGGAGATACCTTCTTTAGTACTCTTTCACTGTAGTTTGATTCTGTAAACCATCTCTGCGGTTTGAACTCAAGCCAGTCCTCTCCCCACAATGCTTCCATCCTTCCCATTCCGTAGGGGAAGTAAGTAACTCTATCTCCTGCCCGGACTGGAATTCCATCGGGCAACAAGTCATCAGCTATGGCATGCTTCGAGTCCCAGGCAACAGGAGGGTAGAGCCTCATGGACTCGCAAAGGCAAGCCTTCAACAATTTTAGTTCCTTCAACGATTCATAATCTAACAGCTTCGGTTTGACCAGCCTTGTTTCTTTCACCAACTCTTGTTCTATACCTGGGTTGTGAGAAAGCAACCAAAAGAGCCATGTCATTGCTGCCGAAGTTGTGTCCCTTCCTGCCATGATAAAACTGATCACCATGTCTCTTATCACCATCTCTTCATGTTTTGCCAATATCAAACGAGACAGGAGATCTTCACTGTGCCTTTCTTTGCCTTCCTTTTCGATCTTTCTCTTCTTATCCCGAATCATCTCTGTGACATAGGCATGAACTTCATCAACGGCAAGCTTGAGTCTCCTCTCCGATCCAACACCTAGCCATTTCTTGATCTTCCAGACAATGAACAAAGGTGCGGCTCCACGCTTTGCACACACCTCGGATGCGATGTCAAAAGCTTTGTCAAATGGAGACACAGGCTCCGAAGGTCTAACCTATATCGATCTACTCCTAAAGAGTCTTGCAAATCATGTTGAAGCTAAGTCTCCTCAGCAGCTCCTGCAGATCAATCACTTTAGATGCTTTTGCCAGTGACTCTAATAAAGGCAATAGCTGGTTTTCCACTTCATCCTCAAGTGTATTCACGACAAATTCTTTCAATGACCTGGCGGTGAACTCATGGCTGGCTAGCTTGCGCTGTGTTCGCCATAGCTCACCATCCACATTGAATATCCCAAACCCAAGAAAGTCCCCAAGAATCTCAGTAAAGGGCTTGCCTTTAGGGTAGTTGTTGAAGTTGGTCTTGAGCATGTGCTCAACGTTTTCTGGGTTCGCCGTCACAATGGTCCGTGGTGCACCGAACCGGCGTACCACTATGGTGTTGGTGGATGACTCGACCAGGAGCTCAGTATACCAGTCAAGCAAACGGTTGCGGTTCTTGTAGAAAGATATCAAGCAACCTATAATGGGGTAGGTGGCTGGGGTGTGGCCGGTTGACGGTAAGAGCCTTCCAGCCCTAAAAATTTCACGTAGAATGATAACTTGTAATAGAGAAAGAAAGAATGAAAAGAAAACAAGCGTTAGGGGCTGCAGTGCTCCAAAGAGAGACATGGCGATTTCCATCTTCACATGGAGATGACAGGGAAATGGGTTTTGTTAGTTTTGTAAAATATATAAAAGTACTTGGTTCTGTCTTATAGGGTACTTGAGAATTTGCCATCAAACAAACAGCGAGTCAGTACTGATTTTAGACAAGACAAGAAAAAAAAAAAAGGACAATAGAATAGTTGCAATAGTCAAATTAGAATTTTAGGTTGGACGTATATCTCAATTACATCGGGATTAAAAGACCAGTTGGCCACATTATTATTTTAAAACATTTTACGTGTAAAGTTATATTTACTATTTTTTTTTAACCTAATTAAGAAAACGTAATATTTTTTTTTACAAACAATTTTGGTAATTTGCAAGCTTGAATTATAGTAGTTTTAGAATTTTGAGCATGAAGGATAAAAACTAGGAGTCTTTAATTTTTCGGATGAAGTACAGCTTAGTATAATATTGTTATGTATCCATTTTTACTACTAGCACTTGGGTTATTTTTTAATTTTTTTTTAATTTTTGGGTGATAATTCATTATACGTAATTTATTTAAGGCATTGTAAATATATTGTATCTATAAAAATGTGTCTGTATAAGTTCAAGGATGAAGGAGTCAAAATTATAAAAAAAATAAATAAATTAAAAATCTCTGTATAAAGCTATTATAAGAAAACTATTAATAAAAAAATTGCATGTGAAAAATGTAAGCTAGTTTGTATTAAATTATATTTTTATATTAAATTTGGTTTTGTACCTTTTACACTATTCAATTATATCTATTCTGCATTATTTGATTTTTTTTTTTTAATCTCTCTGATTATTTTATAATTGTAGGATTTTTTAATTTCAGTTGAGTATTCTGTGTATTAAATGTCTTGAACACTACCTGGCAGTACAACTAAAAACGTTCAGTTTTCTTAATTTTTTTTACTTTTTATTTCTTTTCTTCCACGTTTGCATATCACCACCATCTATTACACACACACATACAATCAAGAAATAATAAATGCCAGTCCATTATTTTTTAAAATAATTTTATACGTAATATTATGATAATTGTTTATTTAATATTTTAACTATAAAAATAAAAATATAAGTGGAATGATATTACTATGTAACTAATTTATAATTGATTATAAATTTTGAGATCACATGATAATAAAAAAAAATTCTTAATTAATTTATTTATTTTTATCACATTTAGTTTATCTTATAAACTTTTCATGAAAAATTAGTGAAGATGAGTATTTTTATTGATTATATGTATTTTATATAATTACAAAAAGTTATATTCTGTATATAATTTGGAATACGAATCTATTTATTTATTTAAATAATGGGATGGTACTTGGCACACCTCGGCTTCACTTGTTTTTTTTTTTTAATGAGCATGATTTGAAACAATCCTTTTGTCGGTACAAGTATCTTTTGAAATTAAGTCCCACCGCTTGGGCGGTGAATGAAGTGGTTGAAAATTTTTCCACCTCATTTTGTTTGAGTTTACTTGCAAGGATATTAGATATAGCGAGTGATATCATTGTTCATCGTTAGGTTTGTTAAAACATGTTGTTCTTAGGGTTTATCACTGGTTTCAACTGGTTATTTCATGAAGATGTACATATATTTTAAGGGTTTGAATCCAATCTCTCACTTTCATATTTCTATTAAGGTAAATTGAAATTTTCTCTCTTATGGTTTAGGTTTAATTTAATTCAATTTTAGATTTTTTTTTTTTTTGTTGTTGATAATTAAGTACTTTCTAGTACAGAAAAGTTTGGTTGATTTTGATTTTGATAATTTAGTCGTTTGTCCTTTATTTTTTATTTTTCATTCTTCCGCGTAAAATCTCTTAATTCTTTTCTCACATATTTATTTAGAAACTTTTATATATATATATATATATATATGTGTCGAGATAGCTCATAAAAAAATTAATAATTTTATATAAATTAATAAAAAAATCATAAATTTTAAATTATGAAAAATTTAAATTAGAAGAACATTTCTATAACAGATAACATTTTTTTTAAAAAAATTATGTAATACATAAATATGATGACATATTAAAGAATAAAAAAATTATAAGCTCACCGTAATATGACATAATTCTCACGTCACTGTATATGTTTAGAAATTTTCATGTTCTACCTCCAATATTTCTCCTATTCTCTATACTTAAATGTTCCCATATTTTTACGCATCTACAAAAGATTATAAATTTACCCTCAAGCTATTTGACCAGAATATTTAAATTTCCTTTGATAATTAAACTACCATATCGTACTAAATCTTTTATTTACATTTTCAATAGTTTAATCTTATATAAATACACAATATATATGTTTTGAAATGTACTCATATATATATATATATATATATATATATATTCTTTACCTACCAGAGAAGGTATATTGTCTCAAAAATTTCTTATTTGGCATATTTTTCTTGAATTTTCTTAGGTACCCTAGTGGATCAAATCAGGCCATTTGTCAAAATTTTGATCTAAATATAAAGCATTTGAATATAATATCAAATTGAATGAAGAATAAGATTTAGTCAAAATTTAATTTAGTTTTATCTAAAAATTAACATGTTCTTATGTTGACTAACATAAGAGACATCCCATTAGTCTAAAGTAGCAACGGAGCGATTTGTGACTTGCTCTCTATTTTTGACCGTGCTATTTTGCTTATAACTTTTTTTTTTAATTCATTTATTTATATTTAAAGAGTAAAGTAATGAAATACTAAGCAATGTGGAGAATTGAACTTTTTTAAAAGTTATTGGGAAAGAGACTCGGTGTCGGTATAAAAAAATTAACTTGAAAATTCTGGTCCTTCAAGTTAACTGAAAATTAATATATAAATTAAATTTTATAAAGAGTATGGATGAATTGTATAAGAATAATTTTTTTGAGGGAGAAAAATTGTTAAGATTGAGTTTAAGTCATTGTGAATATTAATACTGTAATTAAAGAGAATTTAGTTATCATAAAATATTATTTTTGTTCATAAACATAATAAATTCGTTGAGGCTTAACTTAACTTGGTCATTATGGTCCTACCAATATATTAGCGGAGGGAGGTCATTGATTTTTATGAGTTAAACATGATAAGTCTGTAATTGCTAAATTCTAGTACATCTATGAAATAATAAATTTTAAGTTTTTAATAAAATTTAAACTTATAATTTTTAAATATAACAAGTACTATAAATATAATAAGTACAATTTAAATTTAATAGTATATATTTATTAAGTAAGTTATATATATAAACATTAAGTACGAGGTTATAATTTTCAAATGGAAATATTTGAAGTTTAGATTAACTTGAATTTATAATATTTTATAGGAAAAGAAATATATCAATAAATTAATTACTATTCTAAAAAGTACCAATTCAAGTGTATTTTTGATACTATAGTAATTATCTTAAATATGTACTAAAATATAATAAACTAAAGAATCACTGTAACGATTCTGGAAATTCAAAAGGAAATATATAATAATTTAAGTACGAAAGCGAAATAAAAAGTTAAGGTTTACATTCTTTATACAATAATTTAAAAGTACTAAATAAATATCACAGAATGAATTCTCTGAAAGAAACATTAGAAATGAGAAAAATAAAGGAAATTATAAAGTATCTAGCATCTACTTGCAGTATTCTTGCGGATCGGGCTCGGGAACCAGATCCTCTTAATATGAAATAGTTAAATAAGGAATGAGTTACACTAGTTGTAACACCCAATTTATTATTTTTATTTTTTCTTATTTATTTTAATATATATTAAAATTTTAGTTTAATTTTTTAATATTTAATTTATAAGGTTTTAATTTAATTTAATGAAAATAAAAATAATAATAATGATAAAATAGGGTAAAATTATTTTTAAGATTTAATTGAAATTGATTTTAGGAAAAATTGGTGAAAATTTGGATTCTGATGGTATTTTTGAAAAGAAAATCAGAAACTGGAGGGTCAAAATGTAATTTAGAAAAGTTGTGCCACGTTAGCAGCCCAGTCAGCAGCCCCAACCAACCAGAACACGCCGCGTGGCAAGGAAACTAACGCGGGAGACCACGCGGGACGGAGCCACATGAGTGATTCGCGTGCACGCGATCGAACGGTCCAGATCTCACACGTGCGGACAGTCCAGATCTCACACGCACGGACAACCCAGATCTCACGCGTGCGGACGGCCCAGATTGAATCACGCACGGACGGTCCAGATTGCATCGCGATGGACGGTCCAGATTTATTCCCATTTTAATCGCGATCGGACGGTCCAGATTAAATCGTGATAGACGGCTGAGATTAAAAGGGGAAGGTTATAAATAACATCACCCACACCCGACCCTAAACCCTAGCCGCAAGTACCCTCACCGGAGAAGAAGAACTAGTCGCCAGAGGAGCCGGTCGCCGCCGCACCAGAGGGTTTTTCGACCGCCAAACGATGTAAATTTTCTCCTCTTGGCTCGTTTTTCGATGCTGAATCCACCTATGGCCAAATCAGAGCTAAACCACCGGGCCAATCGGCCGGAAAACACCGCCGAAGTCCAGTAGC